GCATTCTGGCCTATGGAGTACCAACTGTTGGGCTCTTGTGAGGATGGTTCCCTGAATAGGGTGTAACCATGCACTTCCGTGCCCTGTGCATCAGACACTAGCATCAACCCTAATGCAGAACTTGCTGTCTAGGTGGCAATAACTAATGACATTCTAGGTCCTTCTGAATGGATGTAGATGTGTCGAGATCGACGTATGGGATGGCGAGCGAAGCTCCGAATGCCCACCTGCTGATGACACAAGCAGTAGTAGTAGCGATTCAAGCTCCGAGAGAAAGATAAAGGACGGGTCAAAAAGGGAAAGGCTTAAGAGTATGGCTAAACGACACGCCCGCTTGGGATCCATATCAACCAAAGTTGGGGGTCTCCTAGGCCGCAAGTCGTCTCCTGAGGACGTGCCTCTCGACAACAGTGCCCCAGTGGATCCTGCGACTGAGGTCCCGCAACTCCCAGAGCCCAAGGTGCTTCATGGCCACACGCTTACCAAAGAGACTACGTTTCGAGATGTGTGTTATGCCATCCGGGATAGTGCTTTTGTTACAAGTGATCTACCGGTGATTGTTAGTCTGGAAGTGCATGCATCTCTGGAACAACAACAGGCGATGGTGGAGATCATGGAAGAGGCTTGGAAAGGGATGCTGGTGGAAGTCACGCCCGAAAAGGAGGCGACTGATCCTCTGCCCGCACCGGAGGATCTAAAACGAAAGATCCTGATTAAAGTGAAATACGTGGCACCGACGGGTCAAGACAAAATGGAGGAAACGCCAGAAGGTAATGGCGACGAGCTTGAGGCACTCAAGCAACATGCCAATCAAGGTGACTCCAGTAGCACTGCCGACAAGCCAGCTGATGTACCCCCAAAGAAGCCATCAAAGATCTTGGAAGCTCTCAGCAGACTGGCTATATTCACCAAAGGATTCCACTTCAGTCACTTTGAACAACCAGGTAACTACTCTGATTGAGTCTACGCAAACCTAGGAAAGAATGTTCATTAACTATATGTGTAACAGAGGCCAAAGTACCCGGACACGTGTTTTCGCTATCAGAAAATGCGGCTAGAGCAGCGCATGCGAAATATCCCGAAGCCCTGTTTGAACACAACCGCAAACATTTCATGCGGATTTACCCATACGGCCTACGAGTAAATTCTTCGAATCTCGACCCCAGCTTCTTTTGGCGCCGGGGCGCGCAGGTGGTGGCGTTGAACTGGCAGAATCTCGACAAAGGAATGATGCTTAATAACGCTATGTTTGCCGATGAGCAAGGTTGGGTACTCAAACCGCAAGGATATCTAAGTTCTGATGCACCCTTGACCATCGTGCGTCGCCAGCTAGACCTTTCGATAGAGTTTCTCGCCGGCCAGAACATCCCCTTGCCTTCAGGAAACACCAACGAGAAGGGTTTTCACCCCTACGTGGTCTGCGACTTGCATGTTGAGACGCCCGAGGACACCACCTCACCTCAAGTGGAAGACGAGGGCGAGTCAGAGACCGAAAACTACAAACAAACGATCAAAAGTGCCTCGGGAGCCAGTCCAAACTTTGAAGGCCAAATGGTTCAGTTTCCGACTCTATCTGGGCTAGTTGAAGAGCTATCTTTTGTCCGGTATGTATTTCTTCTCGGCGGCAGTTGCCTTCCGATCCCTCAAGCGGTGATCCCAAGCCTGCAACCAAGGTACGAATGAAGCTAATGACCCCACAGATTCAAAATTAAAGACGATGAATTCGGACGAGACTCGACGGCTGCCTGGGCTTGTATTAAATTAGACCGCCTCCAAGAAGGCTACCGGCTAATCCACCTGTACGACTGTTCAGGAGCAAAAACCGACGGCGTCCTGCTAGTTCGTATTATCAAACGGGTCGCCTAGTTTGTTTGTGTTGGACGTTCTAAAGTCACCTGGGTGGTGAAAAATAGAATAAATTTGAAAGGAGACACTGAAGAAGCAAAAAACAAAACAAAAAACAAAAAACAAACAGGGATAAACCGGACGAAAGAAGAAAGATGATTGAAAGTCGACATTGCAGATGAGCCGGACAGAATAGAATGCCAACGCATATGCAGTTGATCTCATAACTCTTTGATTCGTACGTCTGTGCGTGTTTTTATCGGTTGATCGTGGATCTCACTTTCAATTCCAGCTGGTCGGCATCGAAATAATACACATGTCCCCCAAGAAGATCAAGCGCCTCCCCTGGGTAGCCAGCCAGCCACCAAATCGGTTATAATGATACCAACCTCGCACACACTACACTTCATAGACTCATCGAAATCCTAGATTTTAGCGCGAAAATAACTCGGTTATTCAATTTAGTATATGACTACAGATTTAGATAACACTGGTATGTCGAACAGGGGGATAGTCTCGGTTGGAAAGTAAGGCCATGCCCACTTCCAAGGTTTCCAACGTAAACCACAGCACCGGAGACAGGGTAGATTCCAAATCACGATAGACAGGTGCCAAATTAGATTTAGGTTATGTATCTACGGATAGGTCATGCGTGATGGATCTCCATAGGCTTTGAACGCGGTATTGGAATGGGGATGGAGGGGGTATCCCCACTCGTGGGCCGAAACCTGGGTCTTTGAAGTTTGGACATGTACAGAGAATGGAGGAAGACAGGATACCTTTTCCACCGCCGAAAACAATCCACATGACGTAATGATAATTATGCTGTGCTCTCAGATTTAGCCGTTCTCGTGTTACGAACGGAGATAAGGAAGGGGATTGAAGGCAAGGAGGAAGAAAATGAAGAAAAATCAACCCAAAAAAAAGAAAAAAAAAAAAGGAAGACGCACAAGAAAAAGAAAGGAGGGGTAACAAGAATGGGAAAGAGGAGCCGGAACCGTTCTGATTTGATAGACGATCACCCGAAATTACTCGGACTCGACCTGTCAATTTGGATCAATATCGATAGGAAGAAGCTATCTCTGAGGCGGGTTCCTTGGCGCTGGGGACCACACGAATTTGACGCAAGCCAGCTAGTTCGAGAATTGCTTTTCAGGCATGGCAATTGCCAGTCGTGGCTCTCGTCATCGCCAACCGTTAACAAACGTTGAGGGGTCTCGAAAGTGACAGAAGCCAAGAGTAGTACCAACTGGCGACGCGTTGTGGAATCCAGCAGCCACCTGCAATATATCGGAGAATAAGTGCTGGCAAGACCAGGACAGCTCGCAGATTATGACCAAAAAACTACAGGGGAAACCCCTGAGGAGGGTCCATTTTCTATGTATCCAATTCCGGGTTAATCATTAACCAATATGTGAGAAATACACCAAGCAACCTGAGAGGTGGGGCCGAGATACTGATAGAGTTCAGTTTCGCAGCCCAGCTCAACCCAGACAGACGGCAGTCTGCAGGTGGCTGAGGTGACTGAGCCTAAGAAGGGAAAAGGGAAAAGGGGTTCTGATGGTGTATTCCATTGTTGAAGCAACGCGTACCCGAAGCGCCGGCACTGATCTGCGCAGAAACTTATCAAGGGTGCCACTGGCCGCGATCCTGCTATTGGCTCATTTTGATTGGGACTGCATATCCTGTGAAGCACCATGTTAAAAATAGGGAAGAGGAAAGGACAGAGATCATACACATACGCCTCTATAGTGCCGCAAAAGACTGTGACAATAAAGAGAAAGAGAGAGAGGGGAATGAGGAGCCCAATAATAATAATGATAGTAATAATAATATTAATAAAGGCGAACCAAGAAAAAGAGAGACAAAGACTCCTGTTCCCGAATGTCATGACTGTCCCACGGGGTCAGCGTGCTAGCAAACAGAGTCCAGACATTGGAGCAGTGGGGCTTGACGCTAGCCGCTAGATTGTGATGGGGAAGCTTTAGTACAATGAGAGAGACCACAAGCCAGGGCTGAAGTGGTCTGGGTGCACATTCTTCTCTCTGCAAGCAATGCTCACCTCGGCCCAAACAGAGGACAGGGATGCATGTATGGGGCAAACCAATAAGCGATTTTCTAGCGTAGACCGGGTTCAAACAGGAGAGAAATAAGATATGTGATGTATGTGGTGCACCTAACTGCAAGCTGACCAAGCCCCTCATTCCAACATCACGGCGAGAGACTAATGTCGACCGAGTAGGGCCTATGTGAGGTAGACTGCGCGCTGGCTTTCTAAAGTTGATGAGTGGCATGTACCTGTTGGTAACACAAGTGCTTGGTCCATTGTGCGTGATGGCGGTGGGATAGATCGCGTGCCATTCCAACATGACTCGCAACCAGTCACATTTCAGGGTTCAAGAGGGACCCAGATGGCCCAGTTGGGCGGTTTTACCGAATACTGAGTATCCATGGCTAGCTGCATAAACGGTTTCCAAAATATACGCCGAAGACGTTCCTCTTTTCCGCACAGGGATATTCCTTTGCGTTTTCCTTTGCGGCCCCCCCCCTCCTCTCATCATCCGGACCCGCTTTTGAGCTTGGACACGTATTTTCCATGTAGAGAGCAGATCACACTGCGTGATAACCCCAGTCACTGAAATGCAATGCTTGTCATGAACGGGAACATCCGAATAGTTCGGGTCTGACATGACATGTTGGGTTTGCAGGGATTCCTATATGCAAGTTGCCTTGATGCATTGAGTGTAACTGATGTCGTCAATCAATCGATCGATCGACCCTAATATGGAGATCTCCCGATGGCTTTTTTGAATTGTCGGATCTCAGTGAGGGTCTTTGATCCATCAAGTGCCTCCGAACTATATAAGGGCGGGAGGCTGGCGTCCCAGAAAACAGATTAAGCTCTCAGCATCCAACAAGCCGTGGACCAGAACTTGAACTTTGTTGGTTTTTCTTCTTTAAACTTTGACCGTGTCCAATCTTCGGGAACTTGAGAGGCCTTTCACATCTCGGTTCGATCCAACCGAGCATCTCCCCTTCCTTTGAACTTAACCAGAGTACTGGGTAGTAACATATTCAACATGCCGGTGAGTGCACACAACAAAAGTTATTTTTCTTTTCTCTGTCCAAGCACACTTTCTGATGTATGAACCAGATGCCAGGAAGACGCTGTCCGGAGTGTGAGAAATGTGGAACGGAGACCTGGGTTATCCCTGGAAAGAACTGCCATGTCTGCGGCACTCCTGTTGGCTGACGATGTCCGGTAAGCTTTAACAACCGGCCATATAGACAGTACCTTGACCTGAACACATAAACTGATACTGTCCTGGCAGACCACTCGAAGACATCAATCAATCTTGGGGGACCTAGGCACCTCTTTCTCCAGGGGAAAAAAGGAGGACAAAAACGCCGTCCACTTCAAAATGACCCTTGAAAACCCTCAAATCGTCCTTTCTTTTCGTTGTTCCTTGGAGGGGCGGAACAAATCGTGGGATGGTCAGGGACGACAGCGGCGACAAACACCAAGTACTCCTCAGACAGGAGCCCTTAATCTGGGATCGGCCACAAAGCTGGGGAAGATCTGGAGACAGGAATTGTACGATAGTATGGGATATCCGCATAAACGTAATGCAATTATAGAAGAGCGCTTTTTTTTTTTGGCTCAATTGATGAATTATCCAGCTGAGGGTAGCGATCAAAGAGTGAGGAGGGCATACAACTTAGAAGGCTTGATCTACCTCCCAAGTCACGCGTGGCTCCTTCTTGATCTGGCAGTGTTCATTGCCCGGCTTTGCAGGCAATACTCCTACAACTTGTATTCGCATAAATCAATGTTTTACGGATTCGTAGTCTACCAACCCATGTAACCTTGTCACTGTATGTACAGCCCTTCTATACAACCGAAGACATCAACCAGATGATCCAACCTTCCAAGTTGCTAAGGACTCCCTACTAACTTCAAGTTCGAAGCCCTCCCCTCCAAATGACTGAAAGCAATCTCCATCCAATAAAAACAATCCAAGGGTATCCCCACGTGATAGCTCCCCAATCAAGCAATCTTCTGGAATGCGGGACGCCAGTCCAACGACGTCATCGCCTCCTTCCCCGCCAATTCCAGAGACACAACGCACCATAGCCAAAACATCTTTTACTAGCTCTCATTTTACTCAAGTAACGCTCTTTATACTGCTCGTCAGAAGGCCATAGCAATAATCATGACAGAGACACAAACTTACCCCATCGGAACCCGCAGCGAGTGCGAACGTCTCGTCCGAATCTGGGGTTTCCGACATATCTGTACCTGGTCTGATGGCAGGTGGGTCGATTACTGGTTTAAGGTCTCGTATCGGTATACGTAGGCTCAGGCTTACTTTGGTGTGCTTTACAGTAATGCATATTACTCGCCTCATAGACATGCGGGCTTGACGACGCATCTTATTCGACGAGGGTCCCTTACTATTACGTATCCAGAAGACAATGCTCGATTTAATAATGGGGAGGTGAAGAAGGAGACGTTTGGGGCTGGGGCTCGGGTCGATGTACCGGCTGGGAAGTTGCATGAGGTGTGGATTGGGCAAGATGGGTGTGAGTATGTTATTGGGGAGTAGAAGACTTCGGATATGATATGATGCACACATTGACAAGACTAGCGGGTTTCTAATGTGAGCGGTATATATTTTTTGGACTCGTCTATTCGAATCTATTAACCATTGACCTTATTCTATAATTCTAAATGAAGTGGTATCACAAAACTTTTAAATCATAACTAGCACCCTTGATCCATGTCCAGCTGGATCTAGCTCGCTTTGCTCGTAAATTAATGGATGAACTTAAAATCGAGTCTAGGGAGAGTTAGCAAAGGCACCGCCAAAGAGGCCAGAGAGTCGTATACCTTTTATTGCCCAAGTGCCCATTAGCAGCCAGATATTCCTCCCTCTCGGCGCTAGACATGACATCCCATTTTTCGGCATTCTTCCTGTGTAGGTCAGACGTGTTAGTATCCGTATCTGATTGATCCAGATGGATTCAGTAGATCACATACTTGTTGCGCCACACGTAGTAGTACTTGGCTCCAATGAACACGAAAATGCTCCAAACTGTCAGCCCAATGAGAACCTTGTTTCCAGTGCGATAGTACGGTTTGTCATTTTCACGATAGATCTAAAAGAACAAAGATTAACAAATATTCACTTCTGCGAGTGGCTGGAGTTGGGAGAGTTCACTTACATTGTTGGAGATAATGCTTGATGTTTGGACCATCATATTGTAAACTGCACTGGCAACTGTCCTCGTACGAACTGTGCCTGCATTCCGAGAGGTCATGGCAACAACAATAGCATGCACATACGGTGCACCGATCAGTAGTACGTTAATGATCCACCGAGCCCAATGGCTGGCATTATCTGGCAGGGTCTCGAGAGCGATCAAAAGAACTAAACACCAAATCATAGATCCGACTCCTAGAATCAATCGTTGGTGGAATCGCTCTGAGATCCAGGTCCAAACAAGTAGGTTGATAATGAAGACCACATAAGCTGGAATTGTCAAAAGGTTCGTCTCAAATGTTCCGAATCCCAGCGACTTAAGCTGTAGGGTGATGTAGCTTGTTGCTGGCGAGTTGGGGATCATCCATGTTAATCCTAGAAGGTAGATGGGCCACATATCATAGTCGCAAAGGGCCTCCCAAAGCATCTTTAGCGTTATAGCCTGTCGGTTGTGCATGCCTCCCTTGCTTGGATCATCACGGAGCACTCGGTTGACCATGATTTTCTCTTCACGTTCATTGAACCAGCCATCTTTGCCGCGAAACCCGCCTTTGGTCTGAGTAGGTGACGCCGGCATCCAGAATGCTGCAATGATTGCAATGATTCCTGTTATTAAACCTTCAAAGGCAAACAAATACCGCCAGCCACCGGTACCATCAGGCCTCCGCACATGTAAGAAGCCGTATGCTAGGAAAGCGCTGATAATCGATGTTCCCTCGTAAGAAACCCAGAAATAACTTAATCGGATAGGTAGCTCCTTAGACTTGTACCAGAAGGATAGAAAGAGAATAGTGTCCGGGATGCTGCTTTGTGTCAATGGGATATTAAATGAGACCTCAGATGCACATTTAAACTCACAATCCACCCTCGAACAGAGCCAACAACGCCCTGCAGACATAGTATGACTTTTTTCCTGAGAGGAAAGCCTGAAAGGCGGCGATTAGGCTCCAACAGAACATCTGGATCGGAATCCACCGATCTGGTCCGATTTTTTTTGAGATCAATTGGGAGGGAAGTTCCGCGAATAGGAAAACGAGGTAGAAGATTGTTTGGCCGGTGTTGTAGTCATTTGTATTCATTCCCAGATCTCCCAACATGTTATCGGACATCGCCTGAACGATATTGCCTCGGTCGAGTTGTAGTGCAAAAAAGGTAATACACGCGAATGTACAGACCCGTAGATCGATCTGTCACTGTTATCAGTCGAAGCCAATCTGGTTGAGAGCCCGACCCAGGAATACCTTTCTTATGAGCTTCTTCTCCTCCTGCTCTCCCCATTCAAAATCCGGATCCCAACGATGTATACCTTCATAGTCGTCGATCGGCTTGTAATATCTTGGGTCTTCGGAGGTATCAAAAGCGCCCTCGCTTATATCCTTGACCCGTTTGGGCGCAGCGACAGGTAGTGTCTCAGAGGATGATCCTGCTGAGACTTGTTTCGAATCGTCTTTTACAGGTTTAACATTGGCAGTCGCTTCTTTGTGGTCGCCGGAAGCCATTTTGCCAGTATGGTTGAATGCGGCGATTATTCGACGGTCTCAAGAATGGGAATGAATGAGATGTTAAAGGTACAAGGGCATCGCATGTCATTAATAAATATTGCTTTGTGGTTATTGCTAGTCGAGTAGTGGTGCTTCTATCACGCCATCGCAGTTTTGTGCTTAAGGCTGAAGCTAGTCGAGACTACGCGATGAGCATGCAATGTAGATAGTTATACAGAGCCAATTAGGAAACTTAAGCGTGGAGTTGAAGAACCTCTCGTACAGCTTGATGTCGCTTGCTGATGGAGACGCGATAAGATGCTGCGGATCGCGGCGAACCTCCGCATGGCTAACAACACCATTGTCTAGTAAAGCTTTGACAAGTTAAGCAAGCCGAAGCAATTCTTGATCGTCTTGGACCAATCATCCAGGACCCATTAGGGAGTACGTCGGGTAGTGGACACCATCACGCAAATGGAGCAAAGTTGACGTTATGAAGGACGAGTCATGGCAACGAAAAGAAGCAGGGATCTCATTTAGCATTTGATCTGGACTGGTTAACTAGCAGCAATTGCCGACTGTCGTCTGTTTCACCGCAGAGCCCATGATAGTTTCAAAGGGTAGCCGATCTCATCATCAGCTTAGCGTATGGTGGCATATTTCGCCATCAATATCGCAGCGTTAGGGCGAGACTTGATTGGCGGCTCGTGCACTATGCTAGGATAAGCTGCATGATATGTTCAACCTAAAGGATTGGCGTCTATTATTCTTATTCGCATTCATTTGCATCTTGAGTGTGAAATGTAATGGTCGATTTTCCTTTCCCGAGGCTTATACACATGCAACTGGCAAACGGTTGCGGGAGGCAATCATCGTAATTGCGATAGATTCCCGGGTGGGTGGCTCCTTGGATGACCCTCTACCTAGGTAAATGGCGAAGGCCCACTTTAGTGTGTTTTGTATGTGTACGTAGTATATTAAATTCACCAGCGGAGGGAGATGATTAGTAGTAGCTTAGGGTTGCGCGAATGGGTCGTGCTAGCACGTCATGCTTGGCCCGCAACAGCAACAACAACAACGGCCCCGTATCACTTTAGATAGTGAAAGAGTTGACCACGTTCTACTTGTCGTCAGCCCGAGTATTTCAGTTTCTAATCGACCCAACGAAAATGAGACCAAAGTTTGTCTCCTTGATCGGTTCGAATCCAGAACTTATCACGGGACAAACAGCCGACAGAGCTCTGTGACGCCGAGTCAGCGTACGATGGATAGGCTTTCGCGTCGCAAATCCTCCCTCATCACGCAATCATATCGCTTTATGATACACCAGTCGACCACTCAGCATTGTGTGTACTTGCCTTGTTGTGGCAGTCCTCCCCAGTGACCCCGCGCGCCGAGCGAAACTCCTTGCAAGATGTATTCTTGAACAGGGCGTGATATTGAACATACCCCGCAAATATTGCACAATCATCAGACATCAGTCGGATAATCGGATCTGACATGGGCGCCTATATGTAAGGCAATAGATATATCTAGGGGATAGCCCCTAGCGTTAGATCAGTGCTTGTTAGAACAAAAGACAAATCGAAAGAGCATCAACTTTCACGCAAATCTACAAAGATGGCTCCATCTATAACCGAAACCGTCTCACTTCACTCGGCACCAAAGACCTCTCTTAGGACTGATGCTGGTCACAATAAGGAGAATGGGGTAGGATACCGTGAAACATATCAGCATGAAAATGAGATCCAAGGAACTGCAAAACAGCCGCCGGCATCTTTCCCAAAGTATCTCCCCGTCTGGGATAACGAAACAGAAAAGTATGGGATCCTGATTTTGCACCATGCATAGTTACTTGAGCATAGTAGCTAACGACTCGGTAGATACCCACCGCTTCAACCCTTTGAGCACTATGACCATGGAAAGGATGCCGACCCAACTTTCCCAGATCTCTTCCCCGAGGGCAAGGGCGAGGTGGAGGAGCTTACCCCAACCATTGGTAGCGAAGTTCACGGTATCCAACTAAGCCAACTGACCGATAAGGGTAAAGAACAGCTGGCTTTGTATATCGCCCAAAGGAAAGTTGTCGGTATGTTATTGCATATAAAGGCGAATGATTCTTGACAAAATTACTGACGGAGTCTTTCAGCTTTCCGAGACCAGGACTTCGCTCAGCTCCCCATCGAGAAAGCCCTGGAGTTTGGTAGTTATTTCGGTAGACATCATATTCATCAGAGCTCTGGAGCACCTAAGGGCTTCCCCGAGATTCACCTCGTTCACCGTGGAGCAGACGATAGGAGTGGAGCAGAATTCCTGGAAACCCACACCAACTCGCTTACCTGGCACTCTGATGTTACTTTCGAAAAACAGCCTCCTGGCACTACATTCCTGTATTTGTTGGATGGCCCGACAAGCGGCGGAGATACTCTGTTCTGTAATATGGCCCAAGCTTACAGACGGCTGTCACCTGAGTTCCGCAAGCGACTGCACGGACTGAAGGCTGTTCACTCTGGTGTTGAGCAGGTCAACAACAGTCTGAACAAGGGCGGTATTGCACGGCGCGACCCAATAACCACTGAACACCCAATCGTGAGGACACATCCTGTCACTGGGGAGAAAGCTCTTTTCGTGAACCCACAATGTGAGTCCTCCTTCGAAACGGTGTAGTCGGTATTAGGTTTCTAACAGTAATTAGTTACCCGATACATCGTCGGATACAAGAAAGAAGAGTCGGACTTCCTCCTCAAATTCTTATACGATCATATTGCCTTGTCCCAAGACATTCAGACTCGCGTCAGGTGGCGACCAAATACTGTGGTTGTCTGGGATGTAAGTACACATGTATAGCCTGTTTGATGTAAGTGATATTGACTACATTTTAGAACCGAGTTGTTGCACACAGTGCCATTTTCGATTGGGAGGATGGTCAGAGGCGTCATCTTGCAAGAATCACACCACAGGCGGAAAGACCGTACGAAACTCCATTCGAAGGGTAAATGCCTAAGCCTTCGCTATGTTTCAAGTCACCGCATCGGAGATACGAATGTGGTATCCAAATACATGATATGGAGATAGAAACGATCTATGTTGACGAATAAGAATCGATTTTTGGCACTCTGATAAGCGTTGCCTTCGCAGCAGAGATACTTTCTAGTTGAGCTAGAAATAGTAAGTCTCACAGCCTACGAGCCTGAGCTCTTAGAGGACGTAGAACAATTTGTCAAATTTTTCAAGAAATTGCCGGTCTTGGTTTGTATTCTGTTTGGACTTTCGAGGGCTTAGCTTATGATTCATACTGGAGCTGCGCCCTTCACCTTTCAAGCTTTTTGCGACTATTCACTTCAAAGAGAGAATGATGGTCTTTGACGACCAAGGCGATGTTCATTTATGCCGGGATGGTATACTGCCTGATAACTCTCGGGAGTTTTCATCAGAAGGACTAAGAGGTATTATCAAGATTGCTGGAGGTGCTAAATGAGAGCGCGACGAGGGCTTTTCGGGGAGTTCCAACTCGGCAGCCATGGCTCCGACGTGTTTAGCTGTCTTCCCAGACTTGGTGGTGCTTGAAGTGCGGGAGTAACCGGGATGCTCTACTTCCTTATGCTCTGCGGACCCATCCAAGTGTTCCCAGGTGATATCACCCTTGTCACTCTGGCAAGTTCCTGTCGGAAGTTGTAGTTCTCGGCTGTCGGTCGCCATCTAAAGAGTGAGGATTGGCAGGAGACCAAGGTCTGTATGATTTGATCTGTTGCGCAGTTGACGAGTATCAAGAGTGACCCCATGGCCTGTAAGGAGATACATCAAAGGCTAAGCCGGTGAAGGAATAAATTTATGGATGAGTGCCAACATGACAGCGCCAAGGTAGCAACGGAATGTAGAATGTCAATTCACTCTGAAATGGGCATGTCGCCCTGTGACATCCGCCTGCATACCCAAAGAGGAAGAAGGCACCTGACGATGCTTTGTCAAACGAAACATGCCAGCTCACTTCAGAGTCTCCTCTACTCAAACATTCTTTGTCCGGTCATATCGATGCATGACGCCAACCTTCCATTCTCGAAACTCCCTTGCCGACTTTGGTAACATCCTGTTCCTACTCTTCAAAGTTTCTGAGATAGCAGACAAGACGCTGGATGAAAGTCGAAGTTCCTCCAGGGACAAAGATGACGCCTTGCCACGATCCGGATGAAGCATCCCATCCACGTCGACGACATCCTGGAATAGGATTTTCATGGCCCGCTGCGCAGTTATACTGTGGTCTGAGCTAGAGTTCGAATATCGCATATCCGGATTGAAGACCCAGATCTATACGCCAAGGAGTCACAAACAGGTATCAAAAACGAAAACAAGACTGAAAGACAATGAATCGACATACCAGTAACCCACCCCCTTGTCCACAGTGGAGAACAAATCGTCGAGCGCTTTCTCTCTCAATCAACTCCAACAATTGAGCTGCTACAACTGCCTCCAAAGGATGGCTTTCCCATTCTGGGTCTTCACACTCGCCTTCCGACTGCTTGCTTACAGATAAGCTTGTTTTGAATAGTCGCCATCCTTTAGCAACTGTGTCTTCAACTCCCACATGGCTATTGCAATTCTCACAAAGCAACTCCATCTGTGTTTCTGTTGTTGAAGAGGCTGTTGTACTCTTTGTTTCAACCTAATATAATATATTTATCAGCAATCCAATGCTATGCAAGCTGCGAATTTAGGAAAACGTTGTGGCTTGGTTATGAAGCGCATATGAAGATCAGCAGTTATTATATTTGTAAGGTACTACTGTTGACTATCTGTTTCTTGATCATTAAAGGATGATTCAGGGTAAAGTCTTCCAACCTATCCCAGAGTTCTTTGCCGTATGTACCTCGTTATAATCGCGTCGATCCCATGACTTTGGGTAAGCAGACCGAATCAACGGAGAAATGCAGCGAGGTGAAATCTTGATCCCGAGCCAAACACGCTGAAGACCAAACGGCAACCACGGCGCAGTGCGAAATCCATCACGAAGAAGATAACTGCACCTGGCCGTGATGCCATTCAAACTCCATAACAGATGTCTGACCAAGATAGAAACCAAGACACACTAATTATAGGGCAATTGTATCGAAGACCAAAGCATGGTTATGAAATGGCCTCCTTCTTTTTTGCCCAAGCCAAGCATTAGGGCAGGGTTAAAATAAACAAGACCTAGGCATAGAGCGCAAAAGGTACAACAAACAACAATCCTAGTTAAGAATCAACCGGAAGAGATGTCCGTGCTTACCTGTTTCAAGCCTCTACAGTCGGAGTCAGTGAGCAGAAAGGTCGCGCTGTCCACAAGAACAGTCCCTGAAGTTGCGACAACCTGATTCGCGGCACCGTATCCCTTAACTGTAGCATTCTGGTCTTCAGCTGTAGCGCTGTTCTCATGATCATGATTATGATCATGGTCCTCATGAGGATCCGGCTTGTGGCAATGCCAAAAATCCATCATCTCAGCCCAATTCCCACTGGGCAAATCCTTCCATAACCACCCCTGCGTATCCTTCTCTGCAGCATCAGAGCTACGCGGCACATGCGAGTCGAGGAGAATACTCCTACAATGGCGACAGCGAAGCCTAGTACAGGAAGTCATGTCGGTCGCGGTCCACGGCACAAAGCTGTCCATATGTTCTTCCCTTGAGAGCAACGATGCATCTTCATCATCGATCTGCATTCGAAACGAGTATTCCTGCTGGCCATGTCCATTTTCTCGAGAATCTGTAGCTCGCTGTCCAGCTACGCTCAAGGCCAACCGAGATGCTTCATTGACACGGGCTGGTAATTTGATCGTATCTGTGACATCGTCGTGCGGCGATGCGAGAGATACTGTAATAGCACGACGAGAATCGGATAAACAGATCTCTGGTCGGACATTTTGCAATCGTATCGCCTCCGACAGCGATACGTAGAGAGTAATGTGGCGGATGTTAGGGAGAAGTTCGGCGTGTAGATAGAGCGCCACAGGCTCGTTTTGTTGCTGCGCTGCGGACATTATAGGAAGAATATATGTGAATTTATGGTATGATTGGACTGTTAGCTGCCTTTATTAGTATGATTTTTGTTTTAATCAAGCCATGGACGTGAATTGTAGAAGCGACTGTGGTAAAAAATGTTGACAGGTTATGGTCAACTTGCCCAAATATTACTCCATTAAACAAGCTCTAAGCGCGTATCACGTGGTATTGTTATATGGCATTTATGCCTCAGGCATGAATATATGATTCATTTCGTGACTTATCACCATAGAATGTAGTGAGTTAAATGAAGCTTATGACTAACATTTCATATCAAGTAGAACATACATTCGAATCTGATTCTCAGTTTGGGATCAAGGGTGGTTCTATCTCCAACCCAATGCTTTTCGAGCTGTTATTTGTCACAAATTGATCAGAATAGTAATAAAAACAGGATATTTCCGATGGCCAAAAACCATGCATATCGTACATTATATAGCCAGTCAACATGCCAATAAAGCCAATCTGAGTGAATACGACTAGAACATAAATTGCCACCCCATCAAACAAATCCGCCCCAACCATTGAACTCCTCACCAAACTTGACAGCAGCTTTCAAGTAGTACTGCTCCGGATCTCCCCATGTCGCAGCAGCTTCCTTACACGCGCGAATTGCCTTGACATAGTGTGCATCTGTCGAATGCTCGCCCTTAATAGCCTTCTGCGCCGTCCACTTCCAGTCTCTTCCTTTCAATTCGTAGTTCATAATCTGGTCGAGCTTAATTTCCGGCCTTAATTGCGCAATGTATACAACTAGAGTGAGAAGCCACCACTGCCTGACGAGTGCATATTGGAAGCGTGTTGGGATCAGTGGTAGGAGAATACGGACGGCATGGCTGGTTGTCAGCGTGTGGACGAGGAAGAAGTCATAGTTGTCCGATGTCTCAAATTGAGTGGCGGTTAGAAGAGCCACGGCGACCTCCTGGCTTTCGCGAAATTGTTTCACGGGATCTTCAATTTTCCACGCATTCCAGTGATTGAGGAGTGCGGCTTCATGGTGACGTAGAATCGTCTCTATGTTGTTGTCGCCTGGGGTCCCGAAGAGGCCGTTGAACTGCTTGTCGACTCGTACCTTGTTTAGAATCTCGAGTAGGGAGGTAGAAGAGTAGAGAGACTCTGCCTGTGAATAAGAAGGGTCGTCTATATACTTATGCATTTTCCCGTAGCACGTAGCTGCAAGGGCTAGGGCTTCCATGGCGATTTCACGGCTGGACATCTCAAATGCATAGGCAAGGTGGATTAAGGGGTGACCAACTAAGCCAGGTCAGCTTTATCGAACTATCACTAGTATTAGGATCACCATACGGTCATCAACAAGGGAATTGAATAGCGGCTCCTTTCCGGAGAATAAATAATCTGCGAGGACTTGCTTCCAATCGTATCCGTGACGGACGAGTTCGTCCTCAAAAAAGTCCACAAACGCTCTTTGATATCTAGATTGACGTTAGGTACGTCTTTCTATTAAAGGCTAGACTGTGCATAAGCTCAGGGATGCAGTAAGGATACATACTCTCGATGGCTCAAGTAGTCTCTCCAGTCATAGGTACTGATTTCACCTGGAGAATCAACCCAGGGGTCCAAAAGCTTAGACTCGGCCTCGTAGATACGATTTAGATCATCCGTGTCTGCTCCTTGAAGGAAAGAAGAGCTCAGAATCTACATAGAGTCAATTCTGCTTTTGGTATGAGAGATACAATAGAGTATGGCTTACATGAGGCGCATGGTTATGGAACTTTCGTTCGTTGTACAGTACGGAATAGTTGGCATGATTCAACTTCAGCAAATGTTTGAGAGCCCGAGCCGGCTTCTCCTGTGCTGTATCGATCTCATGAATCTTGACTGTCGGGATATCGATAAAGGTTCGATCGCGCCATGGCAAGAAGCTCTTCAAGGAAGGCAGAGAAATAGATAACATAGTTATATCGAGTAAGCGAGTAGTATACTCCTGTGTAGAGCTTCTCAAGTTGGGTTCAACTGTGAACAATGTTTGACACCCTGCGGCCTTGTTAGAATGTTCAAGCGGTATTACAATATAATATACTAAAATGAATCGCACTGAGTGCTGTCGTTCTGGCGATCCCAGCAAAATGTGGGGAAAGAAAGTTGTTGGGGCGAATTGGATGAATGAGGCCTTGGTGGCCTGAGGGCCTTAGATGATGTATGTGACGTCACCCGTTCTTGTAAACCAATATTTTAATTGAAGTAACATTTCTTCAAGTTCTATGTTCTATGTTCTGTTGTGTAGGGTCATAATAGGCTAAGTACTAGTAGTTATATCCAGGCTTCTTAGTCGTTGTAATCTCATTTCCCATCGCTTTTCCCATAAGTTTCAGCGGTTTCAGCGTGCGTGGGCACTTCTTCAACTACGCCTGCAAGGATATCCACATCAGACCGTGGCCCAGTGAAGTTCTTGCGGCCATCAATGACCCATTGGAATGTTGAGATGATAAGAATAATACCAAAAGCAGCGACACAGTAGTCTAGTACCGCGTATTTTGTCAGCAGTCTTGGCAATAAACTCATATAGAAACGATGACACTTACTCATACTGCTACCAGTCGCAGGCAACACTGGAGGGAAGAGGAATAGCACTGTCGTGAGGCTGATGTAGGTAAGAGCAATCTACAAGTAGTGTTAGCTAACAGCCCTGTCGTGATGATTCTGAGCGGGCGTACTATGTTGGCGATCCAGCCTAAAGTATTCGGGAGAACAAATGTGCGTTCAGGCAGCATAGTGCGACCACGTAGGCAGTTCACTGCAATCGGAATACCGTATGAGATGTCAAGCATCACTACTGACGATGAGATAATAGCGTTGAACGCACTGCCCGGGTTAGTAAACATATAGTGTTATTATGCATTAATGATGAGAAAACATACCTCGAAGACCCGAGAAAAATAAGCCCGAAGACAGTGATAACAGCAAACGACAGATACACGGCGTTTAGTGGAACATTGAGCTTTGGATGAACCCTGGAAAAGAAGGGGGAAGCAGGAAGACCGCCATCTCTGCCCATCGTTATCAGTTTTGCTTTAGAAGAGGTATTACTCTGAGACCATCATATTTACCTTGCAAAAGCATAGATCATACGGCTACTAGTAGTCATGATACTCGTGGCTGCGAAAAGGATGCAAACAAGAGGGAACCTTGGGGTTATCAGTTAGTAATATATTGGCGCTGACAGTCGGAAGAGGGATGTACATTAGAAGACAGATTGACCCGGCATTATTTCCAGTTGCATCCTTAAAGATCTGCAGAAGACATCCCGCAGCAGAATCGATGACATTGTAGATATCACCGGCAACAAAGAGGAGCACAATCAAAAAGATCGAACCTGTCACGGCACCAATACAGACGCACCCTATCATAATCTTAGGGCCCACAACAGATGGATTGGGAATTTCTGTAACGGAGTCAATTAGTAAAGCGGCTTTCCGCAGTTGTGCATATGTTGCATACCTTCGATCATATGGGCAACTCCATCCTATACAATGATCAGTGGCTTGCTATAGAGCTGAGCGAATGGCGATAACTTACAAATCCTGTGAGACCAAGTCCACCTTGAAGAAGCTACATATGAGTTAGATATGCAATTCGTCAACGAATTCAATGCGCACAACGTACTCCAAGTAGCCAAGCGACACCATCCGGCCCTATGACCAATTAGCCTCGGTCCAAGACCTAAACAGAGAGAGAGAATCCACATACATCCTGTTTCGTTGATAAATTTTCCGAACACAAGTCTGATTTTGTCAGTACTCTTAACACGAAACCGGAATATGAATGTGAGCCTCACTCGCCCGAGTTGTAGTTAGGTGACGAGCATGCAAGAAGCGTTATCGAGACGATGGCAAATCCGGTTAAGGACCAAATGACTTGAGTGAAGTCAGTACTTTTATCCGCTGTAAAAAGAAAGAGTAATACTGTTCTAACTCACAGGCACCCTTAGTGAAGTACGGAAGACCATTGTTCATGAAAGTGTTGATGATGAACGAAGCAATATTATAGCCAGTATAAATCAAAAATTGGTGCCAGCGTTGTGCTTCAAAGGTCTAATAGGAATAATCAGCCGGCGAGATCATCATAGTGAAGCGTGTGGTTCTTACCGGATGTAATAATGAGATTATACCCAGAATCAACTCGCTGCCCAGCAGGCCACCAGTGGCGGTCAATGCAAGCTAGACTAATTAGCCCGGATTGTTTCCAACATATGTCATATCAACCTACCCAGCCAGAAACATTGGCCCAGCCGGTAATCCATGAAAGTATGGGCATCCATCGTTCCCAAGAAACTTATGTCGTTTAGCACATTGTATGGGGCGAATATAGTAACAATGAACACTCACTAACTGTTGGGGCAGGAAGTTAGTCATGGCTCAAGTCGAATTGTCACTAGGATCTAGCATAAACTTACCTGCAACCCAATGGTATTGTCCACCAGCCCTGGGTCCACAGTCAGTTGAGACAAGAGACGAGATGTATGACCGAGTTGTACTCACGTGGGATAAGCGGACAAGAACTCGGCAAGCGAAGTTGCTATACAAAGGTTACATACACCTGCCGTAACCAAACCTATAGAGAACTAGTTAGTAGGGGGCTGTATATAGTATTCTAAGGAAAAAGGAGATGGAAGAAAAGCAAGAAAAACTAAACTAGGGCTGTCTTACCCCAGACCACGCTTACACAGCCTCCAGATGGGAGGCTAAGAGATAAACTTGCCGACAGGGCGGTCCAAGACTGCAAAAAGTTAAACGCTTTCCAAGGTCTCGTGGCTCGGTATGCTTTTTGCCAGCGTGCCCCTGCAGCATCGATCATGGGCATCCAATGGCGGAGGGGTCTTTGCGTTCAGTCACATACATTCAGAATAGCAAAGGCCAATCCTAACATAGACCTGAATTAGGGACGTGAGAGAGTCAGTCTCGGTCAACATAAGATGCTTAGAGACACTGGAACGTACAAGAGTGAGAAATTTCGCTTCAACTCGGCCTTATGGCCCATGGCTGCCAACTGGGCATCATCGTCCCCCGGAATGTCTTTCATGGCGGACGTATCGGCCATTGCAAGGATAGTTGATCCCGAACCAGTGTTAAAACCAAGAAGACAAATAGATCAAAGACCTAGACAGAAAGAAAAAAACCAGAATGAGAGAAAACACTATCAAAGGATATCGACCTAAGGGGATTAGGTATGGGAAGGGTACTGATCACACGAAGGGGAAGAGAAGAAGGTGGAAAAGAGGATAAAACAACACACCACAGACACAACCCTCCACCATGAGGCACACTCATCCCTTTTCCCTGTTTCCTCCACCGGGTTCTGTCCGTCTCGGGCAGCATTTCCCCCAAACTCGGCCATCAAACGTTCTAGGAAACCGGGCCCACCGCGGATTGCGGGGGATAGTGGTGGCGACAGGACCGTGGTTACCTACCGTGGAATGGGGTCAATCTCAACCTTGATAGCGACATACTCCGGAGTAGCTCCGATAAGGCGCGTAGAAATCCATGGGTGGAGCAGATCGTCAGAGGTATATTCCATCATACAGCGCCATTATTCGTCATCATCGCCGAGAACCAGGCACCGAAAACCAGTGAGAACAAGTTAATCGGTGGATCAACAGTGATTAAGGTATTAGGATATGGAGCCAGCTTCCATCGGTCCAGAGGAACTGCAGACTTCGGTTGGCTATTCTCGGAGCTTGTTCTTAATTGTAATATCGAAATATAATAGAAAGATAGATAACCTTCAGCAGGAAAAGAGATATGGATGTTAGTTATCGAAAGGGTTGAGTCATGAAATTCAACCGTTGATAAGGCTGTGTGTGGAGTTCATTAATATGTACAGCTGATAACTGAATACAAAATTCCCCGACCATGCCTCAGGCCACGGTTTATCACGAGATATGCAAAGAATCTTCCCGAGCCTCATAGCCATTCATCATCTTCATGACGCTCAAATGTAACATTATATACACATTCCCGAGACCTTGGTCCATACCTATACACAACTAACACCACCCCAATCATATTTCCAATAATGTCAATGTGCCCAAGCATCAACTTCTGTTTACTTCGAACTATCACCGTCGGCATGGACAAGATGGTCGGTCCGAACGATGTAGTCTTCATCTCCATTGGTAGCGCCATTTTCCTCAGTAACATCATTGTGATGGGAAATACTCTTCTCCGCCCTTGAGCCTGAAATGGGGCCGTCAAGAGAAGAATCAGAATCGTTGCTAGGAGCAGCGACGGTCTTATTCTTCAATTTCGCTCCGACCCCAGCGGGGCTCTTGCCTTTCCCTTTACTGCTAGTCGAGTGACTACTCACGCTCCGCATAGGTTGCTGTCCTTGCTTCCCCTTACCTTTGCCGCTGCTTGTAGGCAGGTGGTCACCATTCGTAACAGGCCCACCTATACTACCATTCAGTTGGTCTCCCAGCTCGAGTGCTTCAAGGGCATCCGCTATAGTTCGAGGTGGCTGCGCCCCAGAGTTGCTGCCTGAATCTTGCTTCTTATCAACAGACTCGAATGTCTGTCGGATACGTTCGAAATGCTCCAGCTCTTTGGCACTGCATGTCGTTAGTCTTCTTTTGTTTCGAGGAACCCATAGCAACATATCAATGAAACATACCTAACACTGGGGACGAGTTCGTTCTGTGCCTGAATGAAATCCTCCTCGGCAACCGTAACAGTGACATCTTCCGGTGTGGCAAGGTGGTCAAAGAAGTAAGCAGTGCTGACAGGTTCTCCTGGCAGCTGCTTGATCTTTTCATCCACTGCTGTTGCCTTCCGGGTGATGGCCTTTAGCATAGCATCAGAACACAGGGCATACAAGTCAGCACCCGTGTACGTAAGAGGCAGCTGCTCCGCAACTCTGCTCAGTGATACCTCAGGTGCAAGAGCAAACTTTCTTGTAAGCGCTTCTAGAATCGTGGCTTGTTTCTCGTGTGTGTCAGACACTCCAAGGTAGAGCATCTTGTCGAAACGACCGGGACGTAGGAGTGCCGTGTCCAACAAATCCGGACGATTTGTAGCGCCAATCACGAAGACACCGC